TGTTAGTTATTGGTAGTTAATGGAAGTTATTGATTGTTGTTAGTTATTGGTAGTTAATGGAAGTTATTGATTATTGTTAGTTATTGGTAGTTAATGGAAGTTATTGATTGTTGTTAGTTATTGGTAGTTAATGGAAGTTATTGATTGTTGTTAGTTATTGGTAGTTAATGCAAGTTATTCATTATTGTTAGTTATTGATGGTTAATGGAAGTTTTTGATTATCTGTTGGTAGTTATTGGAGGTTAATATATTCTTCAATATTATCTATGGCTATGTTCCTGCTATTAAAATCAAATCCATTCTCCTATTTGCCTTTATCATTAAAGCAGCTGTCTTGTGTTTTCCTTATAATTTCTGTGTTTTTCTAGGAAAGCGTGTCAAGAAAAGAGAATATCACCCGGCTAACTAAAGCCAGGCCAGAACAGGACGATGGAACTGGTAAGCTTTAAGGACATGGAAATTTCCAAGTCCGAGCGTGGGACTACTCCCCCTTCAGATAAAGAGATTGTGGAGCAGGTCAGGCTTCCTAACCTGTGCTGTCTGTCCCCAGACAAACAGCTGATCCAGTACACCTCCTCTCCACTGCTGGCCTTCCTGGATGGCTGTGTCCCTCCATCAGAGGTGGAGCTTAGCACTGCTAGCCCTGCAGACACCGGCTGCTCCCGTCCACAGCTTTCCTCCAGTTCTGGAACATCAGCGGCAGCCGAACCGCCCATATGCCTGCTGGATGCCAGCTTAGAGCCCCACGTGCCCCCCCGCAGCTCCTTGATTCGCCTGGAGCCATTGACCGAGGAGGAGGCCAGCGAAGAGACGCTCTTCTACCTGTGTGAACTGAGTCCTGCTGAGCCTAACCCCACGCAGCTGAGTGGGGTTTAGATTTGGACAGAGAGCCCGACCCTCTGTGGACGTTTCAGAGATGCAGCCATTCCTAAAGGATTTTTACTGCAAGGAAAAATGTTGACCTTAAAATAAATGTTAAATGAATACAAAGTGTTGCCTAGAATGCTCATTTCTTTGCTTTGATCAAGTAGAGGAAGATGAAAATGGAGTCGTGTTGATTTCAAGCAGCAGATCAGCTGCAGCCGCCCCACAGACAGAACAGCCCAATGTCTTTGTGACAATGAGCGGAATTTAACGCTACATCCTGAAGGTCCTGGAGGTCTGCCGTCCTGCAGCTGTTCAGGCTGCCGCTCTCTCTTATCCTGCCATACTTCTTTCTTCCACTCATCTTTCTAACTGCAGTATGGCTCGTTGTGAATATATCTAAGTGTAGCTCCTGCTCCTTTCATGGAGTGGAAATATCCAGGGTAGAACTGCTGTGCTGAATCTAGACAGCCCTCAGCCTGACATACATCACAACGCTTTGCATACACATGAATGTTTGAATCAGGGTCACAGCCGTCCTTCAAGAACTAGATAACAGATTTATACTGAAGAAATAAAGTGTTGGGTTAAACGCCGTGAGGTGGGCTGTACCTATGACTGCCCCAGAGGCTGGAGCCGGTCTGGGTCCATTCCTCTCCATGCTGGATAGAGAACAGCAGCACAGCTGGAGCTCCAGTGCAGCTGTTCACTCAGCCATAGGTTCTCTAACAGCACCTTTTTAGGTAACTCCCTGTAAAGAAGAGCCATTAAATTGAGTTTATGGGTGGTAAAATTACAATATTTCACATTATTTTACCTGAAATATTTCACCCTATAAGTGATTTATTTGTTAATATTAAATAAAGGAAAATATTAAGAAGTTAAGTGACTGAATTTTTATGGATCAAATGCAAAGTAAGTGAGTTATAAGTTGTGATTTTAGTGTCTGGGAAGACCTGCATGGTTCAGAGGCCTGATTAACAAAGTAGGTTTACTGAAAACTAAGTTTACTGAAAACCCAAAATCAGGGAAACTGATGAGAGTTCTCCATTTCACAAAGAGTTTCCTCAACCTCCGTTTCTGTTACCATGGTAATATTCAAGGTTGCAGGTTGTCTGTGGGTTGGAGGCTCTCTGTGGGTTTTTTCAAACAGGAGAACAACTTGCAACCGGCCACCTTTAACACATTTTCTCATGACTGGATACACCTGGCTATGAAGTTCAAATCTTAATGAAGAAACCAAAGTCAGTGAAGTGTAGTTAATGGTATTCAAATCAATAAAATGATTAGGGTGCCCACATTTGTGCACCAGTCAAGTTTTGTTTTAATGTGTTCTGAACATTTTCTGTTTGTCCAATAAACCTTAATTCAGTGCTGATATATTACTGAGTCCATCAGGTATTAGATATATCACACTGAAATAGCTGTTGTAAACACCCAAATATATAGGAATAAAAATAATTAAGATTAATAGGGGTGCTCAAACTTTTACATATATGTGTAGCATGTCTTTTGGACGAGGATCCAATCCAAAGAATGAGCGACGTTAATTCACAGAGAATAAAATATTTATAGGGAGATTCTCAGAGCGTGTAAAGATGTCCTTTATATCCAGAAATGTATCTTTATGAGCGCTGCCGTTTCACCTCACAGACATTATCCTTCCTTAGCAGCATTACACAGACTTCTTTAATAGGACTAATTAATAACAGAGAAAACATTGATGTGTTACATTATAGAAAAACAACCGCACAGACAGCCAGTTAGTATTTCCTCTGTGATGGAAGAGAGGATCAGCATGAGGAGGAACCCAAGAGATGATGAGCAGGTCCTACCTGTTATAACAATGTTCTTAGACTTAGTGTATCCCTCCACCACTTTCTCTGTGTGCAGAATTATTAGGAAAGTTGTATTTTTGAGGATTGTTTTTATTATTGGGCCACAATTGTGTTCTCAACCTTAAAATCAAAATTTCATTTTGGAAGTTTATATGTTTTTTTTAGATTTGGCCTTTTTATGAGGATGTCTGTGTGCGCAGGTAAATATTACTGGGCAGAACTTTTAGGCAACGTAATAAAAAATATATATCCATCTCACTTGTTTATTTTCACAAGTTAAACCAATATAACTCAAAATTCAGAAATAAACGTCATCCAAAAAAAAAAAAAAACACAAACAAACAAATCACCTTTCTTCACTATGACACTCAAAAGCCTTCCATCCATAGATTCTGTCAGCGTCTTGATCTGTTTGCGATCCACATTGTGTGCAGCAGCCTCCACAGCCTCCCAGACACTGTTCTCCCGCCCTGTAGATCTCACCTTTCATGAAGGACCACAGGTTCTCCATGGGGTTCAGATCATGTGAACAAGGGCGCCATGTCATTATTTTTTCTCCTTTTACACTTTTTTCTGGCCAGCGACGCTGTGGTGTATTTTGATGTGTGTGACGGAGCATCGTCCTGCATGAATATCAGGTTTTTCTTGAATGATGGCGACTTCTTCTTGTACCACTGTTTGAAGAAGGTGTCTTCCAGAAACTGGCAGTAGGTCTGGGAGTTGATCTTCACTCCATCATCAACCCACAAGCTCATCTTTGATGATAGTAGCCCATAGCACTACCCCACCTCCACCTTGCTGGCATCTGAGTGGATAAGGAACTGGCTGCCCTTTACTGATCCAGCCTGGTGCCCATCCATCCATCTGACCCATCAACACTCACTGTCATTTCATCAGACCAAAACACCTTGGAGGAATCAGTCTGCAGACATTTTTTGGCCCAATCTTCACGTTTTGTCTTATGTGTCTTGTTCAAAGGTGGCCTTCTTTCTGCTTTCCTTACCTTGGCCAGGTCCCTGACTATTGAACACCTTGTTCTTCTCGGGACACTACAGACATGTTGCAGCTCTGAAATATGGTACAACTGGTGGCTAATGGCAGCTTCACGCTTCATCCCTCTTAATTCATGGGGAGTTATTTTGCGGCTTCTTTTTTCGACACGCTTCTTGCGCCCCTGTTGGCTGTTTGACATGAACCACTTGATTGTGAGATGAAAAGTTTGGCAATTTCCAAACTGCTGCTCTGAAAGATATCTGACAATTCTTGACTTTTCAGAGTCTGTTAAATCTCTTTTCTGACCCATATTGCCAAAGGAAATGAAGGTGTCTAATAATTAAGCGCACCTTATATAGGGTGTTGATGTCATTAGGCCACACCCCTTCTCAATGCAGAGATGCACACAACCTGATTTACTTAATTGGTAGTTGGCTTTCAAGCCTATACAGCTTGGAGTAGAACACCATGTATGAAAAGGATGATGTGGTTGAAATACTCATTTAACTAATAATTCTGCACATAGTGTAACATTACCTTGGTGATCACCTGGAAAACAACGGGACCGATTGGACTTTCTAAGAAAGCCAAAAACTAAAATATTATATAAAATACTACATATATATATATATATATATATATATATATATGGTGTATTTTTTGCACAGCTGGCAAAAGTGGCTCTTTTCCATTTTCAGTTTATGTATGTTTTTTTTTTTTCCTCTTATTTCATATTGTTGGTTTTAAGTTGAAGATGAATGACAAGCAGATTCAGAGAGATACAGAAAAATGTGCCAACTGATTTACTGGTTACAGTTTTATTTATTTTATTTTTGTGCTCCATTGATTTTTTGCTTAGAGGAAACATTGGTGCTGCGACCCGGAGAGACTACAGTGCTGGTTTTCAGACCAGTAGAAGCAGGTGGCTTTCAGGCAGAGGAGGGTAGAGTACCCAGAAATAGTACTTAAGAGCAGCAATACTTCATCATATTTCTACTCAAGCAAAAGTCAAAAGTATGATTTAAATAAAATGACTCATGTAAGAGTAAAATAATATCCAATGACTACCCATGATCATAACTGATGCAAAAAACAGTTAACCTTTACTATTTCAAATAACAACCAGCTCTATCCTAGATGCTACAATAACTGGGTATAGAATTCTGCCGTTCAGTTCATCACTGCTGTTGGGGAGAAAACATTGATTTATAGGATTAGAATAAACTTTATGAATTAATTCCCTACTTTATAAAAATAATGTCTCACAAAAGCTGTGAAAGTAGCAGATCTAGTTCAACACATCATATTGGTTAATATAGCAGACAGACAAGCTAACAAAATGTCCAACAAAGGAATGGTTTTAGACAGCTAAGGGTTCCAAAGCAGACACTTCCTGATCTACTATGAATTATGCATTAAACACAGATCAATACAATCTGCATAATCAAAAAAAAGCAAAAAACAAAAACATTATTCTTTCTACTTTGGTAATATTAGGCTTTATTTCTGAGAATTTGCCCCTCATTTACTGCTGCTCAGGGCTCAAAGGAGATTTAAATTCACAATTTGATAAAAAATAAAATAAAATACAGAGTGAACCTCCATATCTGCCTGATATTGCCATGGCAACCCAGACCTAAACTGAATGAATATGCTACTAAAATGTGGAAATATTTAAAGGAAACAGAATTTTTTGACAAGGAAAACTTTACATCATATTTAAATAGAAAACAAGAACAATGAGAGAAAAATATTCAAAGATCTATGCACCTTTTCATCTGGATCTTTATCCCAAAATAAACAGAATTCAATTAAATATTTTCTTTAAACATATTTTGTAAGGGATTCCTTTTTAAAGAATTAAAGAATGTTTAGCATCACCTCTTGTGACCTAGAAGAAATAAAATCTTGATAGTTTTTTTAATGCTTGGCAGAGGATGATCAGCCACATAGCTTATTAAGTAGGGAGAGCAGGAAGAGCCATACTGCTGAGAGTGAACTATCAGAGGGGAGCGTAAAGCACAGACTCTGAGCTCCGCCGTGCAAAGACGCATTTCTGCAAAAGCACAGCTGGAAGAGCAGTTTATCAGAGTTTAGTGCTCAGCACCGGATCATTCCAGAATGTGCACCACTGCCGCCGCAGGTGGGAGGCGTGACCAAACAGGACGCAGCGGATCCTGCTTAGCTTGTCTAACAGATTAAAGCCTCTAACATTTTTATTTAGTCTCGTTGAGAAAAACTCTCACCCATGAATTATAAAGTTTGTGTCAAAGATCCACGTTTAAATGGTCAGTTTCTGGTTATCGTCATGAAGAACAGGAGCGTCAAAGAAATTCATGGTAGACAAAAACAACTCTTCTACCACCTCCAGACGGTCTAACTGCTGGTCCTGCCATGGCCTGAAGCAGCTTGGAGACCATCTGGTCGTGTTGGACGTTCAACAGAGGAACAGAAACACAGCATTTCTTTTCTCGCTTTATTTTAGTTTAACAATGATAAACCTTACACTAAGCTATTGTCTAATAACACAAAGGAGTTTATTATTTTTACACAGCACATGTCACTACAGGTGTCTGTAATACATATGTAAGCTGCAAATAATCCAGGAAAACACGACAGCACTGCTCATGCACCGTAGAACATGGTTCCTCTATTTCTATACAGAACAGAGATTGTGGTCAGGCTAACACCTACAGCTAATTAACACATCGGCACCTAGAAGCTGCAGAAACTGTTAAAACAGAAACATCGACTAGCTTTGGATAAAACAGTAAAATCAACGCATTTACAAGGCAGTAAAACAACAGCAAGGTTTGTCTAACTGGCAATGAATGGAAACGCTTTCATGCACAAATGTTTTACTCTTCACTAAGCGCCCCCCCTCCCTCTGAGTGGGAGGCAGCAGGTCTGCTATGCTGTTGATGGAGGAAGGAAAGCGGCTTTCAGTCAAAGTCTCTGTTGACCAGGACCAGCGGAGCCACCAGCGTCCACACATAGAGGCCGATGCAGATCCAGCTGGAGGAGATCTTCACCCAGACGGACGGCCACTTGCTGGTCATGGTCTCGTAGGCGGAGTCCGGGCTGCAGACATAGAAACACCTCAGAGCTGCGGCCATTTTAAGTGAAGACATAAACCTGCTGCTGTCAGCCACACCTACCTGTACCAGTTAGTGAGCGTCATCATGATGTAGAGGGATGCCAGGAAAAGCATGAAGTGGAAGAAGGAGTATGAATAGGTGACCCCGTCCTTCTCGTTGTCTACGGCTCTGCTGGGTCCGCCGCCCTCCTCAAAGCTGTCCGTCTGCGTGCCATCCTCGATCAGAGCCGACTCATCCGTGGTCAGAGTCAGCTTGTTGACCTGAGCGTTGGAGGAGTTACGGATACTAAAGGATGAACAGACAGACTTGGATCAACAGCGATCCTTCAGAACCACCACAGAAACTTTAAATTCCCAGAAAACAAACTGGACCTCAGCCTTTGTCCAGGAGGGTAATTAATTACATTTGCAATATAATCACAATTTAACACATCGCAATGTTTACGTCGCAGAGGCAGTGATGTTTAATCACACTACATTAAACAAGAGTAAGACACTAAATATCTCCCTACAGAGGGGAAGGTAAAACACTTGAAGTGGATCCACACATACAAGTAGAAATCAAAGCTTTTTAACACAATGATAACAGTGAAGTCCTTTAATAATGGACTCTGGGTCTTTTCTCCTTCTGAATGCAGACAAAACAGAAGTTATAGTCTTTGGACCAGAGTCTCTGAAAAAGAAGCTGATTAGTCAGT